TTGGGTTTGCTGTTTGATGGAATAATTTTTTATAAATATATTAAAATTTTATATATATATATACACTCATTAACATAATATTTGTAATATGTATATTTTATTCACTTATTAAAAATTAATACTTCAATGATCTTTTTTTTTTGTCTACTAAAACATTATACACATTTTTTATATTATTTTTAATTACTATTATAATTAAAATACTATTATTTCTTAAATTCCGTACCAAAATAAATATATATATATTTAAATAAACAAAAAGTATATATATTATTTTTTATATTAATTATTAATATAATTTTCTATATTATTTAGTATTAAAAATACATTCAACTAAAAAAACACAAAATGAATAAATTAATTGAAACGACGAAATGGTATTAATAAAAGAACACAGTCATTAATCTGTAATGGAGACGAAAGTCACGTGCAGCCAAAGTTAGAGGGCAGTATCGAAGTAAAAAAGGTCACGAGCGCAGGCGTATTTTGGAAATTACAAACTTACAAGGACGGCTTCCAAATTAAATTAAATTAAATATATTAATTATTGTTGCGGTTATTACTATTGGTCCACGTGTACATAAAGATTTGGTAGTTTGTCCGTACTACTGCTGATATCCGTTTGTCGTTGAGCATACGTTCTTGTGTTTTTCGTTATTGTTTTCTTACAGTAATTTTTTATAATCTATATAAAAAAATTAAATTTAATTAAATTTTTTTTTTTTTTTTACTGCAAAGTCGGACGGTCATTGATACATATAGGTGTGTTCGTTTGTAGAATTTTAACAAAATTCTACTATTCATCCAATTTTTTCCCCCCAAAAACATCAAATCAAACACCTATTTTTTATTTTTTATATTATACTAAAAATTAATTTTACATTCAAAACATCACATCAACACCTATTTATATCACATCATACAACTATTCAAATTCAAAATTTTTACTATTCAAATCCCAACTCAAAATCCAAACCCCCAAACAAACACACCCATAATATATATATAATGCGGCGACTACAGTGCTAAATTTCAAATTCAGCACTATACTGAACAACACACAGATAACTAATAAATAATACATAGTAATGTTAGTGGCAACGCATTATTTATATTCATATAATACAAAAATAACATATGAACTAACAGCACATGATATAGTCTCATGCAACACATACACACTTGTATAACACACGCGTAATTATAAACAAACAACACATGTCATTATTACAAACAACACGTGTTGTTTTTAATAAAGACTTATACTGTTTTTGTATTTTATGGATGTTGACTTGAAAAATCAGCACGGTAACCTTCTCCGTATGTATACATATATAGTAGATGGAATTTAATTCAGTAAATTATTTGAATTTCAAATCTTATACTATGACCCAAAATTTGTCACGTAATACTCATGGTAACATTTATATAAGGGTGCATATATAGTTAAACATACATAACGACATAATACAATGTTTAACAAATTAAATAAAATTTTAATTATAATATTGTAGCATATAGTAACAATAGGACACATTTAGTACTAAGTCCAAATTCCAATGATGTATTATTATATATTTATAGAAATAGAATGAAAGTATGTGTGGGAATATGCAATAAAAATTCCACCCGTGAGTGAGTGATTGTAGCATATAGTAACAACTTAGGATTGTTTGTTTGCCAAAATCATTATTTAAATTAAAAGAGTATTATATAATTATTTATTTATTTATCTATTTATGCGTAATTAGAGTGTTGGTTAGTACGGCATTAATGTCCGTGAACCTATCTTGATCAGTGATGATAGATGGCGTGTACTTCTTGTGATTTTAAATTTATATTTTGTATAGAAAATAAAAGTATTTTATTGAGACTAGTAGTATTAGACAGTATAAAAATTTTAAAAATTCAGGCTTTTTAAAATATATATATATTTGTGTTTCTTACTAATAATAAATTTATACGATTTTTTCAATAATCGCACTTGCTCACGTTAAGGGTGTGTTTGTTTGGGGGTTTGGATTTTGAGTTGGGATTTGAATAGTAAAAATTTTGAATTTGAATAGTTGTATGATGTGATATAAATAGGGTTTGATGTGATGTTTTGAATGTAAAATTGATTTTTAGTATAATATAAAAAAATGAAAAATAGGTGTTTGATTTGATGTTTTTGAGGGGAAAAAATTGGATGAATAGTGAAAATCTACCAAAATCCTTCAAACAAACACACCCTAAGTGTCTTCTTCCCTTTTTATTTTTTATTTTGATGATGTGGGAACCGCAACTGCTATCCGAAAGTGTACACTGGGTATATATGTATGTGGGTGTGTATTGGGATTTTTTTTTTCAATATATTAATTAATTGTTTTAAATTTTTTATATTACATTCGAAATTAAATCAAATTTATTACATCAAATATCTATTAGATTAAAAAATTTATTCATACAATACACTTAGATATAGAATTTTTAGCATATGCTTTCAACTAAGACAACATGTGTTATGTTAATTAATTTTTTTTTTTTTTTTTTGATAACGAACATTTGTTATTGTTATGAGAAAACGAGAAAGGAAGCAAATAAAGAATACATTGTTGAGGTTTTACGTGGTTTGATGACGGTGTGTCACAGTCTACGTTCACGGGCAGGAACCGGAGAAATTTTATTATACTGATTCAAAGATTTACAATTATGTCATACGACTAGAAACTATAGTTTATCTATTTATAAGCACCCAAAACACCCTAAACCCTAAGTTTATTTGTTATTAATTAGGATAAGCCAAAAAAAGATTCTGTCAATTGAAACAGCCTTGTCAGAGCTTCACCAAAGTCCCCATCATTAGAACTGTCTTGTACCACAGCAGCACTGTTGCCACTGTTACTAAAATCAACTTTTGTATTTCCCTTCTTCTATGGACAATCTCTTTTAACGTGTCTCTTCTCCTTGCAAAGATAACACTTAACTTTGCTAGAGGATTTTGATTTTGAACGCGACCTCCCATTTTCGTTACCCCTCTCTTGTGGTCTTCCCCTACCTTCAAACAAACCTGAGCTAGAACCAGAACCCTCTTCCCGAGAAACCTTTCTTTTCAATTCTTTGGACATAAAAAAGATCTTTCACATCATTAACAAAAATTGTAGTTCTACCATATAGCATATAGTCTACAAAATTTTCATATGAACCAGATAGTGAACACAGTAAAATTAGGGTTTGATCTTCATAATCTACTTTAACCTCAACTCTTTGAAAATCAAGAATGATACGGTTAGAGATATCAATGTGATCCTTTACCTGAGTACTTTCGGACATCCGGAGGGTGTAAAGACGTTGCTTTTGATATACCTTGTTCGTGAGAGAGTTATTTTGGTACTTCTCACATAGTTTATTCCATAGCCCAAAAGCAGTCGTCTGATCTATAACCTCCCATAACACCTCATTAGTAATTGACAGCAAGATCGTGGAATGAGCCCTTGCCAAAATCTCTTTATTTATCTCCTCCTTCGTGTCTTTAGGAAACTTGTCTTCTCCCTTCAACGCAGCTGCACATCCTTGTTGAACCAGAAGTGCCCTCATCTTAACCTTTCAGAGCGTGAAGTGATTCGACCCATTAAACTTCTTCAGATCAAACTTATACGAGGACATCTTCAATAAATGAGATATGACTCTGATACCACTTGTTATGAGAAAACGAGAAAGAAAACAAATAAAGAATATAGAGGTTTTACGTGGTTCGGTGACGGTGTGTCAACCTATGTCCACGGGCAGGAACCGTAAAGATTTTATTATACTGATTCAGAGATTTACAATTATGTCATACGATTAGGAACCATAGCTATCTATTTATAAACACCCCAAAACACATTAAACCCTAAGCCTATTTGTTATTAATTAGGATAAGCCCAAAAGAGACCCTGCCAATTGAAACAACCCTTTCGCTTTGATTTCAGGTTGGATAGACAGCTAAATCCAAATCACGTTTCTAATAGTTATGTTAATTAAAACAATGAGATGTCTACTTAGTTATGATGTGTTGACTAGAAATGCTGATTTCTCGGATCAACACAATATCCTTCCTATTAATGCATCACCGATGAATTCCAACCAACATAGTAGCCACAACTATGTATTTACCCCCTCGTATTTGTAAAAATATATATATTTTATTATTTTAATTTGTCTATAAAAATGTTTTCATATCATATTTGGTAAAAAATATAAATTATTCTTTAAATCTATATCCCATTATTTTTCCAAATATTTACACAAATATCACTAATGGACCGTTTATATTTTTTACATTCATTTTACATTAATTCCAAATTTACATTACTAATCCAATAAAATTAAATTCTATCCTTGCCCAAAAACAAAAAAAAAACCAGCACACAAATAATATTAAATTACTATTTCTCTTAATTTTCATATCAAAAAAATTATGGGCATAGATCATGGGTTGATTTGATCAGATCAACATATTTTATCGGGATGATCAATATATATTTATAATACAATATAAACTATAATATAATTCAATATATAAACATATGTTGGTCACACATATGACGTATATAGACCCGATTAAATCAATATTATATTGACTTGATTGGATCAACATAGGTTCATCAGCAAAAAGTTATGAGAATAATTTTGTAAGACAGGAGGAAGTTTAACTGATGTTGGTTAACTGTAAGGTAAGGCACAATTTTGGTAATGCCCAATTGAAGTTAATGAATGTGGTTCCATCTGCATGGACAAGTAAATGAATCAATAGCTACACAACAAAATCCTCATTTAAAATACGTCAATGGACCATTTGGTTTTACTACAAACATATATCTATACATATATAATTAAATTAAATAATATTTTTCTAACCAAAAACTCACAAAAAGAAATGCCCTGCAATAATTACAAAAAAAAAAAATGCTCCAACAACAATCTTTATTACAACCTTCAAATTCCTCCCACACTATATATATATATATATCCATATGTATCATCAACTATTTCTTCTACTCATTCCCATTCTTAACTTCACAAATCCACCAATCCCACCACCACCATCGCCGCCGCCGCCGGAAAAATGGCCGGCTTTACCATCAAAAGCCTTACATTAGCGGTTATCATCGTACTACTAATGTTATATTCTTACACAGATTGCTGCAATGCAAGAAGAGTTACTAAAAATTGGCGGCAAAATCAAATCACCGCCAAAAGTAAGAAGAGAGGAAAAACCCATGGCGGAAAGCCGAAACAAGCATCCCCGCCTCCGCCGCCATCGACGCCACCGGAGGGAAATCGGCCCGATCCGAATGTCTTCAATGTGTTGGACTTTGGAGCTGCCGGAGATGGAAAAACTGACGATACTAAGGTAATCAGAAGTATGATCGAATAATTTGACATAAAATTTAATTGCAAATTCGTTTTTGAATGCCATTTTGGTACTAAAAAATTGTGAATTTTTACAAGAAATTTTGAGGTTACTTGAAATTTTGTGATCATATTATAGATAGTGTTTTTTTTTTTGGGTTTCTGAAGTTGCAATAATTGTTGGTAGTTATTAAAGATGACAAATTTTAACTGTTGTAGTGTTTATTCGTGGTCACATGTGGTTTATTATTAAAGGGGTCTGATAAAGACATTTTTTTCTGGGCAATATTTGGCACCCGTGACCTTTTTTTTTAGAAAAAATAAAATTAATTAATTACTTATATTTATTTATATATATATATATATATTGGTATTTCCATTTTCCAGCAGATAAAGAACACACAATAATTATCCAAAAATTAGTACAGACAAGATAAAGTTTTGAAGGAATGGACAAGAGAATTAAAAGGGCCTACAATATTGATTCTCGTTACTTCTTGGCCAGGGCAGTTTACATGTTCAAATTAAACAATTAAAAAAATAAATAAATCCTCAAAAGCTCCAGGAGTTGAGGTCCGGGTTAAATGCATACCATACAGTATTATATGAAAGGCAGGGAATTTTCAGAGTTTCACTCCCTGGACCCCCGAAGATTCATAAAAAAAAAACAAAATTTCAATTTTCTTTAATTATTATTATTATTATTTTATTTATTTTTTTATTTTTTATTTTTCAGGCGTTCCAAGCAGCCTGGGCTGCTGCCTGCAAGGGTGAAGGCTCTGTAATAACTGTCCCAGCAGAAAATGTATTTCTTGTTGGCCCCATTTCGTTTTCTGGCCCATATTGTCAGCACAACATTGTTTTCCAGGTAATCAATAAAACAGTTGTGTATTAAGATCACAATAATGTAAGAATGTTCTTTTATTTTAGTTGGTTGGTTGATTGAATGATCGATATTGATTTGATATGATGCAGTTAGATGGCACAATTCTCGCTCCCGCGGGCTCCGCGCCGTGGGGCCGAGGCCTTCTGCAGTGGCTCGAGTTCACTAAGCTCGTCGGCCTCACTATCCGAGGCGCCGGAACCATCGACGGCAGCGGCGCCGGCTGGTGGCAAAATTACAACGATAACGACCCGCTCGACGATCAGGCGAAGATTATAGTCCCATCGTACAATGGGACTTTAGGACACGACCCTCCGATTCCTGTAATTAAATTACTCGTTTTTGTCTTGATTACGATGCAAGAACGATGAGAAAAATAATTGTTGAATGTGATATTTTGCAGCTAAGAACTTCGCTCGGAGGAAAGATGCCGAGCATAAAGCCCACGGTAAGTACATTTTTTTACAATGTTGTAATGGTTTGTGTTTGATGTAAAAATGCCGTGTACGAATTCAGGCACTTCGATTCTACGGGAGTTTCGACGTCACGGTCACCGGAATCACGATCCGGAACAGCCCGCAATGCCACCTGAAGTTCGACAACTGCGTCGGCGTATCCATTTACAACTTCACTGTCGCGTCACCGGGGGACAGCCCGAACACGGACGGCATACATCTCCAGAACTCCAAGGATGTCATAATCCGCAGCGCAGACCTCGGCTGCGGTAACCATCGTTATGACATCAATCAATCAGCACAGTAACTGCCGTCATTTTTTTTCAAAAAATATAATACTAATTTACCGTCCCCTGTTTCAGGGGACGACTGCATATCGATCCAAACGGGGTGCACGAACGTGTACATCCACGACGTGCGGTGCGGACCGGGCCACGGGATAAGCATCGGCGGGCTAGGGAAGGCGAACACGAAGGCGTGCGTGTCGAACATAACGGTACGGGACGTGACGATGGAGAGCACGATGAACGGCGTCCGGATCAAGACATGGCAGGGGGGGTCAGGGTCGGTCCGGGGGGTCCAATTCTCGAACATCCAGGTCTCGGAGGTCCAGCTCCCGATCGTGATCGACCAATACTACTGCGACCGGACCCATTGCACGAACCAAACCTCCGCCGTCGCACTTTCGGGAATCAACTACGAGAACATAATCGGAACGTACACTGTCAAGCCTGTTCACTTGGCTTGCAGCGACTACGCGCCGTGCACCGACGTAACGGTATCGAATATGCAGCTAAAACCGGTGCAAGAAAAACATCGTATGTACGATCCGTACTGCTGGCAGGCCTTCGGACAGCTGTACTCCCCGACAGTGCCTCCGGTCGAGTGTTTGCAGATGGGGAAGCCGTCGAGCAGCAGCCCTCAAGGGAACGACGATGCTTGTTGAAGCATATAGTGAAATTTAGAAGTCGAAATTATAAGAGAATATATTTATACAAGGGATTTGATTTTTTTTTTCTTTTTTTAATTTATATATTTAAGGGAAATTTTTATGTACATAAATAGTGAAGATGGTTTGTATTGTCTGGAAATGTTTTGTGTGAGTGATGAGTGTGATGTTATATTTGTTTTTGGCTTTATTTGAATAGATAGTTCAAAAGGTTTTAGCGTTATTTGGAGTGAAATTGATTTTGGAGTTAGCTTTATTTGTTTTAAGCAAAATGGCCTGAAATGAATTGTGATTTTATGAAATTATGTCAATTTTTTTTATATTTAAAAGTAAATATTTTGAAATTTATTTTCACTTTAAATGTATCAAAGTCAAACATCATTAAATAAAAATGATCGCAAAATTAAACGCAAAATTTATAAATATAAAATTTATATTTAAGCCCTTAAATTTTTATAAATATTTCAATCATTTTTATACTTTTAATTTTTATAAATATTTATGTATGTATCCACCGCGTTAATTTATAAAAACCTACCGGACGGTTCAACGCGACCATGGGATGGCGCGACAACAAATCACTTGTGGACGTGGCAATATCTGAACCGTTGATGTGACAAATTTCTGAATCCAACGGCGAGGATTTTGCTGAGCACCGTCATTCCTTTGGGGGCAAGTAGCAACGTTGTCGATTTGGATTGCAGTTAGTGGCAATTTGGTCATTTAAGTATTGCATTTTAGCATAAATACTGCTCGCTAACGACTTCATTAACTATCTATCGTGCTATCTTAAGTAGCTTTGAATTCTGATACTTCTCCCTCCATATTTCGCCAGATTTATTGCGGTTGGGTAAGTAATTTCTGGTGATTGGATGTTTGAAGTGTTGAATTCGATTGTATGTTAATTTTGTGATTGTGCGTGTGCTAGCTCTTGATTCAGTTGTTGTACTGTGGCAGGAATTTTCGTCGGAGTTTTGAGTTGAGGTTTTCATTGCTTGCTTTTGTGCACACTATCTTGCTCTGCTAGGTTTTGTGTAGTTGTTCTGTGCGTAATTTTTCCGATTATTGAGGAACGGTTTGCACTGGTCGGCCAGAGGGTTTGGATCTGAATATAATCAATTTTGGTGGAATTGCGAATTTATAAATTCTGGTGCGATCTGAAGTATAGCGTTTTTTAGAATGTTGAAACGTGTAGGAATGAGATTTTTATTTATCGGTTAGATATTATGAAGAATTGTACGTACGCAGATCTTTATGGATCGTAGTTTACAACGTAGAGCGATACGTTTACTGAATTTTACTTAGAAAGTGGATCTGTTTGCTGTTTTAGTTTCGATGAATGTTATTTCAGAATAATCTATGCACTGTTGCTGGTGAATTAGATGCCGACCATCGCCCTTGCATGAATATCCAATTATGTGTGCGAAGTGAAATTTAAATACCATTTGTGTATATATGTTCCATCTTTCTATGCAATATGAATTATTGTATTGATTAGGAAGTTAAAATTTTCAAGTGATGTTAACTTCTTAAAATGAGTTTGCATCTTAGAATAATTGTGGTGTAACATTATCATAAAATATCTATCAAAATTGAGTTCAAATTTAAGTGATCAGTGAAATGTTCCTTCAGTTCTTCCTCATTTTTGCTCTGTACATATTAGTTGTTTTCTTCCACCTATATCAGTGAAATGCAGGATGCCTGTAATTAACAGCATGTCTGTTGTTGTAGATGTATATAAGTTTTAACGTCAATGCCATCATTATACACAGATATATAAAGCAAGAAAGATAATGGGGCTGACATTCACCAAGCTTTTTAGCCGTCTCTTTGCCAAGAAGGAAATGCGCATATTGATGGTTGGCTTGGATGCTGCTGGTAAGACAACCATCCTGTACAAGCTCAAGCTTGGAGAGATTGTTACTACAATCCCAACCATTGGTATGACTGATTATTTCTTAGTTTGTTCTTTATGTATTTTACAAATGATATTTTATTTGCTAATCTTTAGAACGATAAATTAAATTGGCAGGTTTCAATGTGGAGACTGTTGAATACAAAAACATTAGCTTCACTGTTTGGGATGTCGGGGGTCAGGATAAGGTGTTCTGCTGTGTGTGCTTATTTCATTCTTATCCATTTTTCCTCATCCAGGAACGTGGCAGAATAGTTTAATTAGTTTCTGGATTGAAAAAAATCCCTTTCTTGTTTCTTGTCTTCGATCCTGTTTTTACAGATCCGACTATTGTGGAGGCACTACTTTCAGAACACCCAGGGCCTCATATTTGTAGTGGATAGCAATGACAGGGACCGTATTGTTGAGGCAAGGGATGAATTGTATAGGATGTTGAATGAGGTATATATAGTGCTTTACATATTGTGATCAATTACTCGAACTTATCTTCATTATATAGCACGTTGCTTATGTAGGATGAGCTAAGAGATGCTGCCCTGCTTGTATTCGGAAATAAGCAAGATCTTCCCAATGGAATGAATGCTGCTGAAATAACAGAGAAACTTGGGCTTCACTCACTCAGACAACGCCATTGGTAGTAATAATTCTTTCATAGTGTATATATATGTATTAGTATGGTAATTCAATCTTGTGCTTCCTTCTTAACTAATAGGTACATCCAGAGCACCAGCGCGACTTCTGGCGAAGGGTTGTGGGAAGGTCTTGAATGGCTCTCTAACAATATTCCGAACAAGGTGAGTGAATGCCGCGGGGATGTTTAATTTTTCCTAAGTTGATATGTTATGTGATTGGTTTGGATCTATATAATGTTGTCTTGGTTCATGTATTTGCAGGCATAATTTGGGGTGGGAGGCCATTTGAACAACATGGGGGGATTTAATATTGTGTCTTATATCATACAGTGTGTGACAATTTCTTGTGATTTTGCAGTATTATTATATCATACAGTGTGTTTACATATGTATGTATAAAATTTGAATTTATTGCTGATAATGCATATATTCACGAGTAGATGAACGCACTATCTTCTTACATCATAGACGAACACGAGTCCTTTTAAAGTTGTGTTGTTTTAGTGTGTTTTGTCTTGGTCCTTACCTCATGCATGAGAATCATTTTAATCTTCAAATTCAGATATGGTAGTCTAAATTGTACTCGTCCCTTTAAAGTTTTTTATTATTTTATTATATTATTGAGGTTTGGGTATTATTTACAATTACATGCATTGATTGATATATGTGTAGAGAGAAAAGAATATTTGAAAAATGAATGCATGCAAGCATGATCTAATTCAATATTTATGAATTCATGAAATGTGGACCAAAATGAATGCCTTGTGTGGTGGAGTTTTAATTCCTCTTTCCTTTATATATATATATATATAGAGAGAGAGAGAGAGAGAGAGAGAGAGAGAGCCCATTGGTTGAGATGTTGTGATCCACTTTGTCTTAAGTCCATTGTTTATCACATATTTACTAACCATCCCCACACCACATTTCTTAATTCCAAAATAAAATTGTTTTTGGAAGGGTAGAAATAGACTTGTTACTGTAAGATTATGGGTTTGAATATTCGATATGTTTTTGTTTGTCCCACATAATTCGCCTATGCCTAGTATGATTTTTATTGGACTTAATTTATGGATTATTAGGTTCGGTGCAAATATAACACATGAATAATAAGATAACACTTTCCATGTAACGGTCTAACAACCTATTTAATGTTCTTGCATCTCTTCGGATATATGTGTGTGTTATGTGTATATTTATATAATAGAGATCAAGTTGGGTAAATAAAAAGAGTAAAAGGGAAAGAAAAGAAATCATATATGGATCACATATAGTAGATGGAGTGGAGAATATATGAGAAAGTCACAAGACAAAATAGGAAGAATATACTCAAGAATACACGTAAGTATCCATCTGAATGGAGATGAAAGATCGATAAAATCAAAGTCTAGTATACATACATGTATGTATATATATGTGTGTGTGTGTGTGAGGTGGAATATGAAGAATCATATATATATATATAAAAGAAAAGGGATTAAGGGATCATATATATGGGTGAGTAATTAAAACCAACTTATTAGAATACAATACACGGGTTCTTTTAAGAAGAATATATTATTCATTCTAATAAAATATTATTTAAATAAAAAAAAAAAACTGAAATGAACATACCAATAATAATTTTTTAAAATTTCATAGAGATGGAATCCTACTAGCTAGCTGATTGACAGTGCGGATCTGATTCGTCCACCCCCTACCAATAATTCCACCCTTTTCAATTTTATTTTTATTTTCTTATGCATGCACATCTATATTTTATGTTAAATATGTGTGTATTCATTCATTCCCCTCTTTTTGGATGTATCTATGGATCTCATTCATAATCATTCCTAGCTAGCTATATCATAATTTCTTCTCATCAAAATTCACCCAACAGAAATAATAATAATAAATAATAATAATAATAATAACAAGTCAAATGCATCCCAACAAAATATACTAATCAATACAGTTGTATATACATCGACTGCTCTAATTTGTTGCTCCTCAACTTGAGAAAATAATAATAATAATAATAATAATAATAAAGTACTTTTAAATCAAGGGCAAAGTTCTCTTAAAAGGGTTTGGACGTTTATATATATATATATAATATGCATTTTTTATTTTACTTTTTCTGAAAAAGTATCATATCAAATAATAAATCTATTTTTCAAATAGTATATATATAATTTATTTTCTTTTACAAATTTTACACTAAAAATTTTATTTATATTTTCAATATATATATATATATATATTTGAAGACATAAAAACGGTCACAACCGCAGCACATTTAAAAATAATACTTAATGAATCCCCTTGTTTAATAATAATAACATAAGTAGCTTTGAAACCCTAAATTTAATTTCATGAGGCTATATATATATATATATATTCCATTTGCATATTCAAATTGCTTTGGGTATATTTGGAGATAAGAATAATTAGTTCTTGCAGCTTTTTATATTCCATGAAAGGGATCTATATATAAATGTATTTGATATATATATATATATGGCATGGGATAGGATGGATTAATGGAATCTGTCAGCAGCCCTGATATCAATTTAGATAAGGGATGGGAATTTTTAGTATATATATATATATATATAGTCCTGTCAGTTATGGGTTGACTCTAACTATTCATACACACAATTTAAGGGATTCTTTTTTTTTTTTTTTCCTGAAAAATATGTATAACATTTATTTTTAATTTTTTTTAGTGAAAATATTAGTTTCACTATAAAATTTATACCGAAAATATAGAAATAAACAATAATATACCTTTAATTTTGCAAACTACTGCTCATTTGACCGGGTATAAATTTTAATAAAAGTGAGTAATAATGATTACTTTTTTCTTTTTACAGTAAAAAAAATATATAAAATTATAATAATTTTTTATTTATAAAAAAAACGAGAATATTTTTGAACGACGGATGGAGTATAGTACTAAATACATCATGAAGTATATTTTTAAAGTTGATAAAGCAGTTTCTAATTTGTGTTACTTGTAAGTTTTAGCTTATTATACAAATAATGAAAACATATTTATATTTTATTGGAAACATTTCAATTTAAATTAGATATCTTCTTATACAGTGTTTTTATAGATTAAAAAACGCAATACAAAATTATACAATTTGGACTCAATCTTAATAAAAATTTAAATAATAATAATAATAAAAAATCAGTAATTAGGAAGAATAACTTCAATAATTAAAAACATCATTAAAATAAGAAATAAAAGTTATAGAATAGTAATGATTGTTTAATTTTTCTATTAACATTCATACAATTATACAACCTATTACATATATTTATGCTAAAATGTGTTTACTATATATATATATATATATATATATACCTTTTTAATTTTATTATTCCTTACTTAAGCATTGAGTTACTATCTAAAAAATTAAACAAAAAAGAAAAAGTGTAAGGTTTCATACATAATGTTGAGTATATATACTAAATTATATTCTTCATATCCATTTTTATTTAGTTTAATGACATATATATATATATATATCGAAAACTCATTTTTATTGAGGAAGTTGTGACACTGATCCCAAATCTATATGTAGAGCTGTCAAAATGGGTTCAGCCCGTTGGGTTGGCTCGCCCTGCTTCACTTTTAAGGAAGGTTGAGCTGTGATTTTGTAAGCCTGTTAAAATACGGGTCTAAATAGGCCAACCCACATGGGCCGTGAGTTGAAAATGGGTTAGCCCGCAAATAAAATAAATATAATAATTAGTACTCACTCGTTTATCAGTTTTTGTTGTCACATTAAAAAATTATAATAATAGTAATCAAATATTAATATCAAAATATATTTTAATTTTATATAAATTACAAACATACCATTATAAATACAATTATTTTATAAATAAACGTACAGAGGGTAAAAAGAATATCAAAATCATCTTTTACATTTTATTTAATAAATAAAATATTATTATTTTTAATCTACTGAAAAGATATATTTTTAGTTAAGACGAATAAAATAAAATTTATATTATTATTAGCTTAAATAATTAATCAATATTTTCTACACTTTGTTTTTCTTTTCTAATCCTGTTTTGAATGTCACTCTTATTTATTTCGATTTTTCATCATTTGTTTTATTCGTATTCCATTTTATTGTTTTATAATATATATATATTTTAAATTCTAGAATCTATTCACAAATTCATAAAATTAATTATGATTTATTTGCAAAATATTTTTTATTATTATTATTTTTTAATATAGTAACTAATAATATTTTATTAAGAATTTTTATATTTGTTATTTATTTTATAATATTTATTATTTAAATTCTAAAATAAAACTATTTTTAGTTATATTTAAATATTAATTACAAAAATATTTATAATATTAATATTTTTAGAAAGTACATAGGCTAGCACGCTTAGCTCGCCACCCGCCGGTGGTTGAGTTGGGTTGCTGAAATTTTGATCCGTCTCACTGCGGGTTACGGTGAGTTGTGGATCATCCCGCTCCGCTACCCCGTTTTGACAGGCCTACCTATATGTATGTATAATTTCTAGTATATAATTTTAAACTTGAAAAAAAAAAAAAAAAAAAAAAAAAACTTATTAACAGACAAGACAAAAAGACAATTAAAATAAAATAAAATAAAGAGAGACACAGAATTATAAAAGGGAAGAAGGAACGTGATGATAATGATAAGGATAGTTCATAGTAACTTTAGCTACTCAAATAGGCAAGTTTAATCATTTGTTTCTTTCCAATCATTTATGAATCATCATCAAATCAAATCAAATCAAACCCCAATTTTAATTTAATTTACTTTTGATGTAAAATCCAATATACTCCCTCTGCTCCATCACAATTTTCTATTTTTCGTTCGTCCCAAAACAAGGTTAGTATTTTCTAATTTAGTAATTGTACTACTTACCTAACATAATAAATACCTTTTCAACTTACATTATATTACACAAATGTCATTACTTTTATATTACACCGTATTAATAGAGGTATTTTTGTCTTTTTTACTACAATTCAATATAATACTAATATTCAAAAATTTACGTACAAAAGCAAATGACACCCTTCCAATGGGACGGAAGGAGTATAAATACATATACTTCAGAATTAATTAAAATGACAATTTTATACTAATAATTTAGTACTTCCTTATTCAATTATGTTTTGATTTTCTAATTACAAAGAGAATAAAAACAAAATTGAATGAAGGAAAAAGTATGATACTAGACTTTGTGTACGTTTGTTTATTTTATTATTTTTTAAATTTTTATATTATATTACCTCCATCCGGCTCTAAGGGTTTCATTACTTTTTCTATGTTGATTTTGAATATTAATTATTATATTAAAACATAGTACAAATTAAGAAAAAAAATTATAAAAATACTTTTATTAATGTTTTATAATACTAATAAAATGACATTTGTACAAAAAAAATTATACAAATATAAGAATATTTTTAACGTTAAATACAATGATGCAAAAAATAAATGTGACCCGCGGACGGAAGGGGTACTATTTTTAACAAGATAGATAAAAGTATATATCATTTCATCCTATAAAATATAGCAAATCTTAGGGTTTGTTTGATTTGTATCTTAGTTTTTTTAAACACAAATCAATACTATTAACATCATACAATTTTAAATAAATATATATTATTTTTCACAAAATTTCATATCAAAATAATATTTAAATAAAAATTCAAATCAAAATCAAACAAACCCTTAAATGGTTGTAGATTGGGAAATTAATTAATTTTTGAGCCATTTAAACCGTTACACAATTTATTTATTTTTAGTATCTAAGTTTGAGCTCAATTTAATTGTTGTTGTTGTTGTTTTATGAGTCTTTGTAATTTAATTACTTTCGTAATAAAAAAAACTATATTTATGTGGTTTATCCATACAATTTAAGATATTTCTAGAATTATAGTAAATAAATATTTAATTACTAATCTTGTAGGAAAATGAATACCAAAAGGAAAATAACTTTAATTGAGTCAACCACATTGAAGAACAAAACAATGTCACGGCTATCACAAATAAATCAGTCAATATTTAAATATCAAAAAATTCATAATTCCAATTTCAGATGCCTACGATAGTATCCAATTTTATTTTATTTTATTTACTTTCTAAATAAATAAAAAATAAATATATTCCACAAAGACAATGACGCTCCACTTTACATATTTGTTTTAAATTAAATCAGAGCCGTCCATTCAGGCGATAAGAGCAGATCAACGGCCAGATAAATTCCATGCATCTTTCACTCATTCTCTCCACACGTATAATAAATAATTTATCAAAAATAAAAAAATAAAAATGGAATATTAATTTGAATTTCATTTGGAGTGAATTTGGGGTGCATTTCGCGCGGCTATATAAAGCGATGAAATGCAAGCAATTGATCTCAGGGCCAAAGGCAAAGTAGCGACTTGACGTTATTTCTCAAATCAATCTCGACCGTCCGTTCGATCCATCGTTCGTCAGATCCAATGGCCCCAGTTCTGCCGGTGGATATCGTCCCCAGCGCCACCGCCGGAAAACTTCCGGCGGCGGACGAAGGCGGTCCTAAGAAAGCTTACGTCACTTTTCTGGCAGGCAGTGGGGATTACGTCAAAGGAGTCGTCGGATTGGCCAAAGGTCTGAGGAAGGTGAAGAGTTCTTACCCTCTCGTGGTGGCTATTTTGCCCGACGTCCCCGAAGAACATCGCGACATCCTCCGCCGTCAGGGATGCATCGTCAAAGAAATCGAACCGATTTACCCGCCGGAGAATCAGATCCAGTTCGCCATGGCTTATTACGTCATCAATTACTCGAAGCTCCGGATTTGGAATGTAAGTCTTCATTCAATTCAATCTACAAAACCCTAAATCCCCAATTCAATTTTTGCAAACCCTAATTCCCCAATTCCTGCCTGGTTATTACACAGTTTGAGGAGTACAGCAAGATGGTGTATCTGGACGCTGACATACAGGTGTACGAGAACATCGATCATCTCCTCGACACTCCCGACGGTTATTTCTACGCGGTAATGGATTGCTTCTGCGAGAAGACATGGAGCCATTCGAAGCAGTATTCGATCGGGTACTGCCAGCAGTGTCCGGACAAGGTCAGGTGGCCGGCGGAGATGGGGTCCCCGCCGCCGCTGTACTTCAATGCCGGAATGTTCGTCTTCGAACCGAGCAAGGATACCTACGACAACCTCCTCGAAACCCTCCAGATCACTCCCCCGACTCCATTCGCCGAACAGGTAATAATCCGAAAACATCATTTTCTCGATCATGTCGTCGTTTTGGGCAAATTGTTTGTTTGTTTGGATTAGCCTGTCTGAAACGTACTTCCATGGCTGCCCCGTAGAAGCTTCCAGAAATTATTAATTCGAGAAGATGATGTAATGATCACGACAGCTAGGGCTGATGCATCGTATCATATTAAGACATATCACTGTCAAACACTAAAAATATATATATATATATCTAATTAATTTTTAAACTACAACATATTTTTTTAGTTAAAATATAGTATTATTTAACAACAAAAATTATTTCATAACTAAAATTTTTTTGTTAGAAAAATCTTTTTCATAGCAAAAAAAAAAAAAAAAAAAAAAAGCTACAAAATTATTTTTCATTGGTAAAATTATTAGGCTAAAAAAACTCTATATTTTGGTACTAAAGCTTTTTTTTTTGTTATAAATTTTAATTTTACAGCAAAATACTTTTATTTAACTATATTTATTCTCTTAACTTTCATTGCAGAAAAATATATATTTTGTTATGAAGATTATATTTGTCATAAAAAAACCTTTACTTACGTGGTATAGACGACGAAATAAGTTTCGTCGCAAAAATATTTTTGTTATGAACTATTACATTTTGTTACGATTTTTTGTTTTTAAGTAAATTTCAATTTTTATTGTAATGAAAAATTCCAAAATTTTCTGTATAACGATAATTTCGATTCAATTTGTGTAGGATTTCTTGAACATGTTCTTCAACCCAATCTACAAACCCATCCCTCTTATCTACAACCTTGTCCTGGCCATGCTGTGGCGCCACCCGGAGAACGTCGAGCTCGACAAAGTCGAAGTTGTTCACTACTGCGCTGCTGTAAGAACTACCTACCTTATCCAATATCCGAAAATTTTTATTACATCATCAATAATAATTATTTTTTTCAAAAAACATCGACCAGGGGTCGAAGCCGTGGAGGTACACAGGGAAAGAAGAAAACATGGAGAGGGAAGACATCAAGATGCTTGTCAAGAAATGGTGGGATGTTTACGACGACGCTTCCCTCGATTACAAGCCCGAAAACGACGAGGCGGCCTTGTCGAGACCGTCCCTTTTGGCGTCGCTGCCGGAGCCGGCGGTGTCGTATATTCCGGCACCTTCTGCTGCTTGAAGTATTTATTACTGATGAAGAAATTAATTATAAAGGCTAAGGATCATCATGGTAATAATATATGATATGATGATATATATATATATATATATAGTGTTTTGGTGTGGGACTGAAGATTAATGATAAGAAGCCATAAGTTTGGTTGTGTTTGATTTTATATATCAACATAAGTGCCAAGCAGTGAAGGAATTATGTAATGTAATGTAATGTAATCCTTCTCTTCATCTATTTATATTATTATTATTATTATATATAATGAAGATTATGGTATTTCGATCCTATTTAATTTTATGTATTCTTCTCTTATTATTCTTGCCTATGGTACTTTTAGTTTTATTTTATTTTTATCCTTTTTATTATATTTAATAGAAATTATTTTTATTTTTCAAATGGAGCATCGCATTCAACAAATGTATTTTTACTTAAATATATATATATATATATGAAAAATTAAGAACACTTGAAAGATCTCTCAAATGCTTTTGATTATTACTACCTTACCTATATGTCTTAAAAGAAAATAATTAGTTCAAAACTTTTGTGTACTGGTTTTAATATATTTTTATAGTAATAAGAAAAATAGTATGATTTTTATCTGAAAATAAAAAATACAAATATTGGACAATGACTGACAAAAAAATAAAAAGAAAATAAGGTTTTTGTAAAATGTGAATTGAAGTAAGGATAAATACTTTCATGGGCCACAAGAAAAGTTGTGGCCTGTTTTGCAATGCAACTTCACAATTTTTTGACAAAAAGTTCCTTCTACACTATATATATTTTGCATTTTTAAAAAATTATAAAAAATGTTCCTTTGTCAAATAAAAAAAATATATATATTTTTTTTTATTTTGAATTGTCCGATTATAAAATAATTATTTTATTAAATACTCTATTTTTTCACAAATAATTTTACTTTTATCACATATTATTATCTTTACACCAAAAAAATAAAATAAAATTATTTGTATATTACTTTTATCTGTCAAATACAATTAAAAAATTATAATTTATTAAATAACTTATTTTATTAATAAAATAGCATCAAATATATCTTTAAAGTATATGCCTGCCCTTTTAGTTTGGTTCATAAATGCCAAATATAGAAGACAACAAGAAATTGCAGTATATCACTAATATATATGTCGAATTAAAAAAACATACAAATTAAATAAACTAAAATGAATTGAGAGTTAGTCTTGTTTTCCAGTCCATTCACATATGTTTTTTTATTTGGCATAAACTATGAGAAATAGTTTGTTAATTAATTGTAATTCTAAAGAAGGTTCTGGAAGTCAGTAAGGATGTACATTCTTGGTTAGTCCGCCATTGATGTTGGTGAAAAACCCCATCAATTCCGGCCGGTACGGCAGGTACGACCGCCGGCGATCCTCCTTAGCCTTACTCTTCAGGTACGATTCGTGAGGCGACAACGACGTCGTTTTGCTCTTCTTCACCTTCTCACGCTTCCCTTCCTTTTTACCGCTTTTCTTCTCTGTTTTCTCCGCCGCCGGCGGAGACGGCGGCGGCGGCGGCGGCGAAGCTTGGTTGTTGTTGAGGAATACGTAAGCGTCTCTTCCGTCGCTGTTACTCCGGCCGAGGAAATCCTTGAACCGCCAAAGCTTGGAGAATCCGGTGGAGTTGCTTTTTCTGCAGATCTCAGCCGACGTCGCCTCCACCGCCTTTCCACTAGACCACTCGCAGTACGGACCGGCAGCGGCGGCGTCGCCGCTTGCTTCAACAAAGAGCTTCTTCACCGGCGGCCGCGCCGGCAAGCTCTCGCGCAGAGCGGCGGAATCTCCGCCGGAGAAGAGCAAATCGCGGTTGAATAAGGGGAAAATCGGCTTGATCTGACCGTTCGCGAACGCATCCTCCGCAGTAATCGTCGAGACGTCTTCTCCGGCGGACATAAAGGTGAACTCCTCCTCCGAATCGCCGCCGTCGCCATTAGAACCTCCATTTTCGTCGTCCTTCACAGCACCATCTCCGGAATCAGTTGTTATCCTCAAATTGTCGCAAAATTTCTGACTAATTTTGGATTCCGAGAACGAATCAGCATCCGAATCGAGATTTCCGTCGAGATTGGGCTCCATTTCCGACGATCTGATCGCAGTTAAGGGGAAGAAGGTAGGGTTTAGTGGGGAATGGGAATTGAATAGAATTGAATAGAAAGGAGATGGCGATATATAAATTGGAGGAGATAAAGTTGGTGCAATTAATTAATTTTAAAAAATATTGCCACACTTATTTAATGTGAAACGGCGTTTGTCACTATCTGCTTTTAGTTGGCAAGTGTAACTACCGAAACTTCAATCTGCTACCTCAGATTATGTTTTTCAGTATTATACCCCGGAAGTATTCGAAATTTGTGTATTGGGCCCCAATAGGTTTAAATTTAGGCAAAAACGAGTAATATTTAGGTAAAAATATTTGAAATATAATATTAAAGTGATTTTTTCTATCATTTAAATTTATTACTCATTCGTTTTAAATTCAATTTTTTTTAAAATAAATTAAAAATTAATTAATATTTTATTAATAAGTAAAAATATACAATAAATTAATTTTAATATTTTTATCTTAAAAGTACAAATAATATAAATATTATATAAAAAATATGGTATGATTAATTTTATAATAATTGAAGAGTGATATAATTCTTAAGTGTAATTGATAAAAATTATAAAAATGATACTCTTAATTATACCGGATCAGTATTTATGTTATTTAGAATATGATATTAAAAATATATATATTCTTTTTGTTCACTAAATTTATATTTATTTTTTTTTGTTCACAAAAGTAAGCAGTTTTTATTTATAACAAATAATTTTTACATATTTTTTAATTTATATTTCTAAATATTATATTCTCCGTCTGTCACAAATGATTTTTTTTAGTTTGTATCAAATAAAATGACTTTTTTTTAATTTTTGGTAAATTTAATAATTTTAAACATATTTAATAAATATAAATTAATTAAGGGTATGTTTATTTAGGGGAGTTTGAGAAAAATTGGATTTGGGTTTGATTTTTATTTGAATTTTGAGATGAATTTGGATTTTATTGTTTCTTTTGTGTTTGAGTTTGGTTGGGGTTTTGGGAGTTTTGATGTGTATTGATTTGATGGATAATTAATAAAATAATGTAAATGTGTATTAAATTTAATTGATAAAATTATATGGTATGATTTTATTATGAATTTATATTATACCCAATATATATATTTAAATTTTTATTTATTTATATTATAGAAATTTTATTCTCTATAAAATGATATATATATATATTGTATATATTTTTTTTTCATTTAATTATAATAAATATTAAATAAAAATTTTATTAAAAAAAAAGGAAAAAAAAATAAAAAAAAAAAAATAAGGGGGATTATATGCACAGTAAATTGGGCGCCAAACCTCCCTAAAGAAACATACCCTAAATTAAATTTCAAATATCTTACGTGAGACATATTCAAAAAAAAAAATATTTTTACCTTTTTTCAATAAATAAATTTTTTTATATATATTTAGAATTTCTCATTTTTATAAAATTATAGATAAATGAATACTATATATATATAATTTTATTTTTTACAAAATAGTATCCAATTATATAATACTCCCTCCGTCCATTTTTTAATATTTTAAGTGATATTTACATATTTTTTTATAATTAGTTTTTTATTATAAATTGATAAAATGACCATTTATTTTGTGTATAGATATAAAAAAAGATAAATAAAGTAAAGGTAAAAAGGTAAATTTTATGTGTAAAAATAGAAATAGAACAATCATTTTTTAAGGTTTCAAATAGAAAAATAGGATATTAGTTTGTGGACGGAGGGAGTATATTTTATTTAAATATATTATTTTAAATATTTAAGTACCGAATTTATTTATTTTTTTAATAATGTATATATTAATTTTTATTCTGAAAAAAATAAATTTTAAAAAGTTGCTATAACTTGAATAACTTCTATATGTATGTATGTATGTATAAAGTTCACTGACCTAAAGAAAGTGATTGGAAGGTTCCAATCAAGTTGACAGCTAATTGTCTCGGAAATTCATTTTCTCCGAGTAGTTCTGAAGGAGGTCCCTGGCGTTCAGGTCCAGGTAACATCCGCCCCATTGATCTTTCCATCAATTGCAGACAGATGTCCATCAACGGTGGAAAGTTAGGGTGTGTTTGTGTGGAGGATTAGATTTAAATTTAACTATTCATTTAATTTTTTTGTCCCAAAAATATCAAATCAAACACCTATTTTTTATTTTTTATATTATACTAAAAATCAATTTTACATTCAAAACATCACACCAACACCTATTTATATCACATCATACAACTATTCAAATTCAAAATTTTTACTATTCAAATATCAATCCAAAATCCAAAACCCCCAAACAAACACACCCTCATATACGCGCCGATACATATATCTAGTCATTTAAATGATGTAGCAAAAAAGGAAAGATCTTCAAGTTAGCTTGTTCAAGAAGTATAAATTAAAACTAAAAATAAAAAATAAAATAAAGTAAGAAACTAATATAAATAATAATTAATGGAAGAAGTCTGAAGTCTATTAAATTAGGAGCGTAACCATCATAGGATTTAATCGAAATTTCAACAGTTGACATATCATATGTAGTGTAATAATTGTCCTCACTCCGTCCAATAATTATGTATTCATTTATTTTTTTCACATAATTTTAGAAATATTAGTATTATATTACAATGTAATAAAAATAAAGTAGAAATAACTAAAATAATTTTATTAGTATTCTGTAATATAAATGTAATGATATTTGTGTAATATATTGTAAGTTGTAAGGGTATTTGTAATATTAGGTAAATAGTACGATTATTAAAAAGTGAAATGAATATTTTGTTATGAGACGGACTAAAATGAAAAAATAGATACATTATTATGGAACGAAGAGAATATTTAATTTTATAATTAATTATTTGCATCATCAGTGACGTTGCTAAAAATAAATAAAAATATTTAATCTATAATTATTGCCTATTATGTTTTAACTCCACACGTAATTATATTAAATTAAATGAATCTTAGTAGCAAAACAATACAATGCTTAATATGGACCAATCACAGTGATTCACTAATCAAGAAATTGCAATATTAATATTTTATATATTAGTTTTAAAAATTTTCTCCTCAATTTAATGTTAGTTGTGGATCCTAAATAATTAAATGGCACCATTGGTGGGAGGATACATACTCGGTTTCCTTTTTTTTTTTTTTTTTTTTTTTAATATTAATATTTGTATTGAAATTATTTATTGGATATTATAAAAAAAAAAAAAACAAATTGTAACTTGCAAATATATTATTACATATATAATTAATTTATAAAAAAAAAATTAATAATTCAATACAAATATTAATTTTAGATTACTAATACAACTTTATATACTCAATATAAAAAATACATCCATCTAAAAATAAAAATTTAACAAACCAAAATTATTTCCAATGAAATTTAAAAGATGATGAGGTAAAACATGGCAAATTTCTTGTGTTTATTTTTTTACACTATTTATTACAACATTCATCCCATGTATTGTTGCCATTTTTGTACATCTCATATTTTATGTCATTTTTCTGAAAAGATTATATATTTTAATTTTAATATATAACTATTTAGGAGTCATACTTTATTTAAATTCTTATATTTACAATTTTATAAAAAATATTATACAGTATTTAATATTTATTTAAAAATGAGTATTAATTAAAATAATTATTTTTTATTTAGAATACTATTTAATAATTTATCTATATTACACTTAATAATTATTACTATTTCTTTTTTTTTAAAAAAAAAAGACAATCCAATATCTCAAAATTACTCAAATATTTTAGATTCGGCTAGGTAGCTGCTATTGATTCCCACATCATCCAAAAAAATAAAAATAAAAATAAAAATTACTCAAATATTTAAAGCACACACCGACTATTTGTTGTTGTAATAAATAATGTCGATCGGAAAATAAATGCGAGGTATGTTAGGACATGTCTACTAACAATTTAATGCTCTGTTTTAACACTAATAATAATAATAATAATAATAATAATAATAATAATAATAATAATAATAATAATAATAATAATATGAATTTATTGGATGGTTTGGGCAGCAAACCACTGAGACATTCCGGCGTGTGATATTTTCGGGAGTCAACGAGGTCTGACTTTGACTTGTTTCAGTTTATTGACTATTTTATTTAGTGCCTTTTATTTTTATTTATTTTTTTATTTTAGCAGACATTGGAATTGTACTGTTTCTTTTCAATACCTCTTTTTTTTTTGCCTTGTGTGACACGACAAAATGTGTATTTAGAAATAGTCAACTTGTATAGATAATGTCGCGTAAGAACGCGTTTTAATTACCATTTCCAAATCTACTTCGAGAATATTAATGAAGATTTTTTGTTTTTCAATTAAAAAATAGATTTACATCTCTATGCTTGTTTAAATACTCCATTAATAAACTTCTTTTATTTTTTCATTACCCGAAAGTGCGCACTGAGTAAACCCTCTAAATCCCCGGCCGAACATAATACCTTGCAAACCAGGCCGACGAGAAAGTCACACTAGGTGAACCATGTATGGCAAGTAACATGAGGTGTCGGGGGTTTGAACCCATGACCTCATGGTCACACGTCCAACCCCTAACATATTAATTATACTTTACCTAAATTTCCGTCACTACAATAATACATCCATATTACATGGGACGGAGGGAGTATATTTGTTTTATATTTAATTTTATAATTATTTAATCTTAATTCAAGGCGTGACGAGGTCGTGTGACCAATCCACTAACTAGCCATTCTTATCATTATTTTATTAATAGATCTATTTATATAATTAAATTAAAGATGTTGTATTATTATGGCTAAGAACTTATTTAATTCATTTATTGGATCTTTCATTTCTTAAGGGATAAGATGGGAAATAAAATATTTGGTGAATTCCAGAATTGATTATATAGAGAAGACATTGAATTTCGAATGGACATAAGAAATTAAATTCGATGAACTTGTGGGAATTACCTTTTAAAGTACTTCT